GGTGTTGTATTATTAATGTCACCTAGTGTAGTACATGCTGAGATAAAAATCAGATGATTTATATCTCTAATATTATGTTTCCAAAATATTATTTGAAAAAATCAATTTTATTTATGTTCATTATTGTAGTTTTATCGGAATTTTTTAATATACACTGCTGGCCACCGTAAATGCAACACCCTGAAGGAAGCACGCAAATAACATGAAATTTACGACATGCATTAGCGGAGGTGAGATGTGCAAATGATTAGAATTTCAGCGCAGACACACATCACGCACGCCTGTGGTGCCACCTTAAAGCGCTATTTAAGGCTTGGAGATTTCGACGATTTCAAGTTCGGCAATTGTGTTTGACTTGTGGTTTTTTCAAAAACGATCAGTTATGTCTCGTATAAAACAGCGATCAGCTTTTGAACAAATATCCGAGTTCGACAGAGGAAGGATAGTGGCCTACCTAGATTTTAGATTATCTTTCAGGGAAATCAGTAGTCGCGTGTTGGACGAAACCAAACAACTGTAATGCGGATATGTGACCGTTGGATGCAGGAGGGTACGACGGACCGACGGGGTCGATCGCATCCACCTCAGTGAACCACTTAACGTGAGGACAGGCAAATTGTGCGCATGGCAGTGACGGATCGCTCAGTCACATCACGAACCATAGCACAGCACATTGAGCCTGTAACGCATCATTCAGTGTCTGCGCGAACCATTCGACTCCGTTTACAGCAGAGTGGTCTGTCCGCAAGACGTCCATTGCTTGGTCTACCCTTGACAGAGAACCACATAAGTCTCCACCGCCAATGGTGCAATGAAAGAAGGATGTGGGCGGCAGTATGGAATGAAGTTGTCTTTACTGACGAGTCACGGATCTGTCTGCAACACCACGATGGTCGGATTCGAGTCTGGAGACATCGTGGAGAGAGAATGCTGAACAGCTGCGTTATGCACCGCCACACTGGTCCTGCACCGGGTATTATGGTATGGGGCGGTATTGGATATCACTTTCGCACTCCTCTAGTACGCATTGCCTGTACTTTGAACAGCCAGCGCTACATCTCCGAGGTGTTGGAGCCAGTTGTCCTTCCTTACTTTCAGGGCTTGGCCCTGACAACAGGATAATACGTGGGCAGGATAATGCGTGACCACATGTGGCACGCATTGTCCAAAGGTTCTTCGTTAATCACCAGATTGAATTGCTTCCCTGGCTGGCTCACTCTCCGGATCTTTCGCCGATAGAAGACATGTGGTTCATGGTTGCTCAACGATTGACTCAGATTACACCCCCCCCCAGCTGCCACACCAAATCAACTTTGGCAACGTGGGGAAGCTGCTTGGTCTGCTGTACCCCAAGAACACATCCAAAGTCTCTTTGAATCAATACCGAGGCGTGTGGCAGCGGTGATCTCCAACAATGGCGGCTACTCTGGCTACTGATTCTGGCAGGAACCACACTTCACAGAAGTCTATAAATTTAATCATTTGATACTTGGTCAACATGTTATCTGCAAAATAAATTTTGTTGTGCTATCTCTTGTCTTTCTTTGTGTTGCATTTACGATGGCCAGCAGTGTATTTTGATAAGGCGAAAAATGTTAAAATCCGTAAAAAATCATGAAAAGCATACATTTTGTTTCAGTAATATTTTTAGTTATACAATTTCTTTTTTATTTAATGTTTTGGGATTGAGATATTTTTATTAGGGATACTTCAGTGGTACTGAGTAAAAACTCAAACGTTAAAGAGAAAGGGTTTTCGAAATACTAAAGATTATATTTTTTTGTTCGATTTTCAGAAAAATCAATGCAAATATTTTTATAATGCTCGTTAAAATTATATATACAAACTGTTCTTGAAAAAAAAACCCATAACTTCTTGAATAATTAAAATGTGTCACACTGTTTTATTCATATATATTGAAATTTTAACCTGTGACTTAAAATAATGTTTTAATAAATTATTTATTGAAACTGACACAAAAGTAATATTTAAAAAAATTGACATTTTTTGGGAATGAAATGTTTAACGTAAAGAAAAAAACAAGAACAATATTTTGAACTTCGAAGCCTAGGTTTTATCTCTTTTAAAAAATGCTTTAAAAGTTTTTCCATTCGAGAATTTTTTTAAAAAAATTAATTATCACGTTAATCAAAAACATGCATGCGAATATTTTTATCATACAAAAATTTTATAGTTTAAAAATGTATCTCTTTTAAATAATATTTATAAATATATTAATATTAGAGTAAATGTAAAAATAAAGTTTAAATATATAGAATATTTCATTTTACCCAGCAAAGAATGTGTATTTAAATATATATTGTATTCATTTTCATTCAAATTTTCAAGAGAAAACCTCAAAAAAATTATTAAAAATTAAATAAATCAGAAATACAATGGAAAATTTAAAAATAATGTAAATAAAATTTTTTGCAACTTTTAATTGTTCTACGGATTTATGCAGTTTTTACCCAGTTTCTACTATTTATTCTTATTCCAATTCACCAAACGATAATCTATTATTTCCCTCCATTCATTTCTCTTCGATTTCTTCTTAATTCCATTTTTTATCAAAGAAAAAACTTGATATTAATTATTTATTCGGAAAAATAAAAAGGAATAATAATTTAAAAAAAGAAAAAAGGGAAGTCGCAACGAGGGATGCAATTAATTTACCAAAATAATGAGAAGCTTTTTTATTCCTTTAAAGAGTTATCTCAAAGGAAAATTATTAATGAGCTGTGTTATAAAACTTATTCTGATAAGAAAAAGAAAATATTTCATTGAAATACATCGTTTGGAATTTCTGAGAGTATACGATATCATTTGTTCTTAAACTTGAAAGGTAAGATCATTATTTTGATCTCTCAGAGAATTCGCCATTAATTTTAGAGTACCGCTGGTAATACATATAAGTAAATTTTGCCACTCCATAAATTAGATCTCTTAAGAATTGTAGCTACATTTATGTTTCTCAGTAGTATTATTCTTATGAAATAATGGCTAATTTATATTTAAATTCTAATTAATAGCATTCGGTGAGTAAATAACTTTTTTAATTTTAAATTTGTACTAACCGTTACCCGTCCGCTTCGCTGGATATTTCATGATGTTGTATGGCTGTATATACTGTTCTGAAGTTCATGTCTTTATCAGTAAGCTTTCATACATGTTGAAAAACATTTTTACACCTCTTGATCTAAAAAAAGGCCTGAATTTCTCGAGTTTATTTAATTTTTATACTCCCACATCCCCTCATGAGAGTTGATTCTAGTAAAACCCGTTCTTAGTAGATCTATAATCAACAAATGTATTTTTCTTACCGAATTTAAAATTTAAAATCTGTACCCTCTGATAATTCAAAAACGAAAATCTTTTTTATCTTAACCCTCATGACCTCCTTTGGGAATCTGTTTCCATAAAATCCGTTCTTAGTGGATGTCTACTCAATAAAAAAGACACGCTAGATAAATTCCAAGTATGTAAGCTTAATAGTTCAAAAATTTAAATGCTGATCTACAACACCTTCTAACTCCTCGTAACCCCCATGGATTCGAATTTCTCAAAATCCGCTCTCAGTGGATCTCCACTTAACAAAAGAAACATACTTACCAAATTTCATGTCTGTAGGTCTAATTGTTTGGGAAATATCGTGATATGTGAGTTTCTTTTCTAATTTATATATAGAGATACATATCCAATATATTGATTGGTCCATTTTAATTATGTTTAAGTGAAGAATTTAACATAAAAATCGTTATTGATATTGTAATTAAAATTTGGACATTTTAGTTTTAAAACAATGTTGGGTTTCTAAGGCAGTTTTTATAAATTATTTACAATAAAATATAAATTCCAATTCAATTATAACAATAATATGTGTATGTATTGGCTTTTGTGTATTTAATATAAAAAAATTTTAATATGTATTTTGGTCTTATTTTTCAATCCCTACTATTAGTTCACACTCTCCCTATATATATATAGTCAAAAATTTTCTACAAGAGAGAGAAATGAATAAGCATTAATCAAATCTGAAAAAAAAATAGAAATTGCAAGTTAAACAGACAATAGATTTTAGAAAGTATATATGAAAAAATAAAAATAATAGTGTTAAATATCAAAATATGGATGCTATAGCATTATAAACATTGCTGACTTTGGACAGCTTATATATAAAATAATTGAGCCTGTTTTGTGGCCCACCAGCCTTCCTCCTTTCTGTTAATAATACTGGGCAAAAACCTATTGAAAATAATGGATATAGAATATCTAAATCCATTACAAGAAAAAAGTAACTTACCTAAAAATTGCATTCAAAAATGCAGAAAATGCGCTAAATCTGAGTACAATAAACAAGTTATTGCCAGATTCTGGACCAAATGCAAATTCAAAGCATGGGAATGGCCGAATAGTTGCACTTAGCAAAAGAATGAAAAAAATAGAAATTAAAAATTGTAAACATACTACCATTACCTTAGGGACACTAAAATTATATATATGTGTAATTTAAAAAAATAAGTAAAATTTTAAAAAATTAAGAGAACAAGTAATTTTATCTAAAATTAGAATTTGGAGGTAACTATATCTATCTAGGAAAAATGATAAATTTATAATAATAAAATATTAATAAACTATGGAATTTATTCCTTACTATTTAGAATTTCTTTATTCAAGTAACTATTAATAAATTTAATTAAGTAGTTTTGAATTAAGCAGTATTTAGTGAAATGTTTATAGTTTTTTTTTTATTTTTTCTGATTTTTTAAAAAAATTATATATATAACTTGTTCAAATTTTCAGTCGTTAATAAAATACCTTTTATTCCTCCACTCAAGGGCAAATACATTTTTTAAAACTTGTAGTGGAAGACACTTGATGTTAATACAGTTTTTTTCAACTATTAATTCATTAATTAAATTTTTAAAAAATGGATGTAAATAGTTACAAACAAAAATAATAGTCCAACAGCATATATGCAAAGGAAAATCATTCGTTGTGTTCCTGTAGAGCAATGAATAGCGCGTTGGATTTCTAATCCAGTGGACTTGGGTTCGAATCCCACTTGGAATGGCCTAATTTCTGAGAATGCGGTTTCTTTTTTACTATACTATTTTATTAGGATAAATGAATTCAATTTTTGAATGAATAGTAACGAACAAACGAAAAAATAGTCCAACACCATACTAAGAAAGAAAAATCGTTTTCTATTTTGCCACTTAAAATTGTGATTCTCTCATATGTATATATATATATTTATACCAATTGTAATTATTTAATAAAACGTAACTAAAATAAAAATTTTCTTGGTTGACTTAAGTAGGAATTGACTTTAAAAAATTTTTTTATATTATTTGTTAATCATAACGATACTTTTTTCAGAAAAACATCATACGACTTAAGTATGCAATAAATATTTACCTTTATACATGCAATTCTTCTATTCGGAATAAATGATGTTTTCTTAGAGCTTTGTAAACGAAAGAAATGGAAGGCTGATAAAACCCTTCAGCAAATACTACGCCCCCAATTCCCGAAATTGCGTTCGAACTCAATAAAATAGGCTTTACGCGTATTTACGTTCACAATAAAAATATTTCACTCACTCAATTGTGTCTCTATAGAAACAACGAAGTAGGAAACTATTGAACCTAGAGACAGGGGAGAAAAGAATATTTTTTTGCGTCAAAATATAAAATTAAATTTTGTGGTGCAAATCTATCCTTTGCCTTTTTCTTTGCTTGATGTATTTTTATATATTTAATTTAAGGAAATAAATATTAAATTCCCTCGCCTTTTTACTTTGTTCCTTAAGTTAGTCACCCCCCCCCCCCACCCATCCACAACAACTGAAATTTTTTTTCCTTTTTCGTCTGAAATAAATTTATTACATGGAAAATCATTTAACATCAAACTGAGGGTACTGAAATATTTTTTCGTGTTGAAAGAGTTCCGTATTAAAGAATATTGCAAAAAAAGAAAAACATATATTTAAGGTATCCGAACACGTTCAGGGTACTTTTTAACAAAATAGCATACTAAAACATTATAAATGCTCTTTTAGGACTCAATGCCAATAAATATTACTATTAAACTATCAAAATTTAAAATAAATTACCTGAATTTTACAAAAATCACAATTATAAGTGAAATTTTAGCAATATTTTTAAAAAACTTCAAAGCAGTTAGAAAAAAAATAATAAACATATATTAGTAAAAGTATTACTAAAACAAATTAGATGCATTTATCTAGAAAATGTACTCAAATTTTAATTTTTTATTAAAATTTGAAAATTTTAGAGCTTATTGAGTAAACGTTATAAGAAATGTTACATTTTTTATGAACCATTATTTAAATAACAAGTCATAACTTAAAAAGTATTCATACAGTAAGAAATATTTTAGTACATTCTCTAGAAAATAACATAAATATCAGGTTCAAAAAGTTTTATAGAAATACATTCGTAATATTTTGAGTTATCAGACTCGCCATGATAGATTTTGAGCAACTTAAATGCCCACTTCTGGTAGATCAAAAACCCACTTCGGGTTTTTCTAACTTTATAAAATTGATTGTAACTTGGCCTCTAGGTAGTGTAGAAACAAAACAAAGTATGTTTCGTAAAGTCAAAAGATAGCTCTATTCAATAAAATAAAAAACAAAAATATATGTCGACTGAATTTGGTCATTTTCAACGTGTTCGGATACCTTAACAAAATTCAGTTTATTAGAGTACATTTGATTTACATAGATATGTATACATACATATATTTAATAATAAAATAAAAACATTCACAGGAATTTTAATACAAAATTTTCTAAATTTTCTGAAAAACAAAGCATTTATTGAGTTTTTGGAAAACAATCTGGTATTTTTCTTTTCATTGTCTTTTTTAGCATCATATTCTCAAGAAATTGTTCGATATCGTCCATTTTGATATTCGATTAACCTATGAAATGGGCATCTAAATAACTGCGCATACTTTTCATGATGTTCCTTATTTCGGATGACGTGGGAACAGGAACTGCATTATTCATTTAATTTTCATAGTCGGAACCTGCATCATTGATATTTTTTAAACTTTGAACAAACTCCAAAATGTCCTTGTCTGCCATAATTGGGGGTGTACACACATTATCATCACCCACTGTAAATAATTCTTCCGATGATACAGTACGACAGTCCTATAGTACAGAAACTTTTTCAAACATTTCATTAAGTGTCGACTCAGTTTAAATATCCTCCTTTTCCAGAGATGAAATCTTTTCGTGTTAAGCGATTTTCGTTTCGTGCTATGAGAAAAAATGTATGAAAACGCATAGTAGTTTGTCGGGATCGTTTTTTTCGTGCTAAGCGTTTTCGTGTTAAACGTATTTTATTCTATTTTGAATGTTAGGTGTGCCATTTTTTGCTAGGTCTTTATGAAATGGCTAGAATATTTGTCTCGGAAAGAATTTATAATGTCGGCATCCATCCCATTTTATATATTTTTTTTCAACATACATGACGTGAATAAAGTAGTCAAGTGGTCAAAGACGTGAGTTCGAGTCCTGGTGCTACTGAAGACCACCGTATAGAGCATGGGTGTTTAAACTATGACCGTTTGAGGGCCACAGTACAACAAAAAAAAATTTCTGGGCTGCACATACAATATTTTTTCAATGAATTGAATTAAAATTTAACTCTATGTAGTTTTATTGAAATAAATTGACTTCTTTTTATTAGAGTTTTTTTTAAAAATTTGAATTAGATATGTATGGGTACACATTTATTTAAAATTTATAAAAGTTTCGTTTCATTTTTTGTTTGGATTTCATGATGATGGAAAAAATTCAAATTAATGAGATGGATGAATTTATTTTTGTTGAACAACTCAATCGATATCGAGTTTAATAGACGAGATTGCAATTCTTAATGCATTTTCAAGAAGCTTGTCAGTGATTTTTGTCCTATTTTTGTTTTTTGTATGCTTCATTCTTGAAAATAATCGTTCACAAATATAGATATTGCCAAAAGCTGAAGACATTAATAAAGCATGATTGGGTAACTAAGGATTTTTATCGCGGGGTAGGTAATCTTTATAAAACTCCAGTAAAGAAACATTTCCAAATTTTTCTTTCAGTTGAATGTCACTTTGCAGTTCAATGCTTTCCATTTGAAGATTTGAAGGTAAAAATTTGCCATCGAGTGGATACACACATAATTCGAAGCGTAAATTCTCATGACATGCTAAGATGTTTTTATTTAAATTTTTATTTCAAAATAATAGTCAAAGAATTGATTATATATAAAAAATATTGCAAACATTTATTTTTTTTAAATAAAAATGTATAAATTTAAATATTTTCATAATTTGCGTTTGGGCCGCACTTTAGACAAGCAATAGAGGAACTAAAACACAGTGTCAAGGCGAAAAGCCCTTATTTATAAGTAGCCGGGGTAATCTAGTGATTATGGTCACGAACATATGGTCTACATGAAATGAATTCATGTCAATTTAATTTTTTTTATGATTCAGTGTGTTTTTAATACATGAGCTTAATACATACAGGTTTTTATAATGAGAGTTATAAATCTTTTGAAAATTTTAATAAAGAATCTAGACATTCGTTTTTGTTTTGTTTTTTAAACTTCCCGTAAAAGAATTTTTTTTTTCAAAAATACATTTAGAAAATTTAAATATGAATAAATTAGTACTTTAAAAAATAAAATCGTCATAAATTTGTCAAATTTAAACTGAAGTAAACTTTACGGCTGTAAAAATTTTTTTAAAAAATTAAAATGGCTGCATAAAGGGGAGGGGGACTGATTTTTAGAAAATATTATGTTTTGAACCCGAATACAATGAATTGCTTGAGGGAAACAAATAATAGTTTATTTTTAAATATATATATACATTTAATTTCTATTAAATCATAAAAAAAATTACCTTTGGTTGTGTAAAGATATTACATACTAATAGAAAATGAGATAATAGTTTAAAATAAAATATCTTGATTTAAAATATTATATGTGTATATATATAGTGGAGTAGACGGGGAGGGTGAGTAAGTGTTGTTAACATCGCTTTAAAGCAATACGAGAGCTATTGGCAAAGGACGACGTAATTTTGAATCACGGTCAAGTGACGAGGACGACAACTGAGCTGGCCACCTACTATCCTAATTTTTACACCACGCCAAAGGGAGGACTTTGAGCCCAGACACAGATTTATATAAAATGTACATCATCTCCTCTACACGGCGGATCTTCAAAGGTCCTGGTGCTTGCACTCATGACACGCCGGACACGTGGCCGTGATCACTACTCTACCGTGGCTACGAAGGGAGGGAAGGAAGTAAACTCCCCCTCTCCAATTGTTCCATTGAGATTGCTGAATATTAAAATTTTAAGCATATAATTCAAAATAAAATAAAATTTTGATTTTTTATACCAGATTTTCAGAAAAAAATATTCCAGAAACCCCGTACTCCACACAAACTTTTCTTCTTGAAAATAAACAATGGAATTCTGAATTAACTTTTAGATATGAGTCAAAATGGGAACCCTTTCCCCCCTGCATGACACGTTTCCCGTTACGTTCCTGTATATTTATATCCTTCCCTATCAAATGATTGAAAAATTTTTTTATTTGAAATCAATGCATGGAAAAAATTACATTCGTATCGTTTGAAAATAGAAACGAAAAATAATTTTCTCCTTCAAATAAAGAACGTAGAACAGAACTAGATTCTCCGAGGAACAACAAATCAACCATAATTTTTTCACACAACTCTTAAGCCATTCAAAGCACCTAAGAGATTTCAAATCAAACAACAGATTTAAACAAAATCCGCCTTTCCAATTCGTACTCCAGAAAACACCCGAACGATTTTTAAACGGAATTATTTTAAAACTCAATAAAACTACAGAATGTTTCCATGAAATAAAAAAAGAAAGAGAGTAGGGAATTCTAGGAATAAAATCTTAGATGTGGGGGGGTGGGGGTGGAGAGGGAAAAAGTGGAGAAAATGTTGGAGGAAGACATTACGCTCTAGATGCGGCATTTCGGTTGACATGAAAGAAACTTCC